GACCTATTTTGATCTAAACGGAAATGTAAGCAAGCAAAGTTGCGGTATATGGCATGTATCCAGAAATAATCCACGAGACGGAAATGCACAACGAGTCACAGTGTGTTGTGCAGTTTCAGCGAAGTGTATTGTCGGGCCATACTTCGTTGAAGAAAACAGTGTAACAATAACTGTCAATGGCCACCGTTATTTAAAGATGTTCAATGAGTTTTTTTTTAACACAGAGCTACGCCGCAGACGTATCCCTTTCAATAGCGTTTGGTTTCAGCAAAATGCAGCAACTGCACACATAGTTAGACCGGTTAGTGCGGAGATCCAACGAAAAATTGAAAACAAATTAATATCAAGGAACTTCACTTTACGCTGGCCCCCAAGCTCACCTGACCTGACTGCACCAGAATTTTTTTATGGCGTTATGTCAAGCAGTAGGTGCTTAAAACGAAACGAAGAAATCTGATTGCGTTGAAGCAGTCCATTAAATCGATAATTGAGGCAATACCGATTTAAGTCCTTCAGGCCGCAATGTATAATTTTCTAACTATTTTTCACTAAAACAAGGTTAAACTATAAGTTTATTATATAAAAATGATTTCAAGATGAAGTGAATAAAAAGACTTGACACTCAAAAAAAACTGTCTAACTTAGGATAACATAAACCTCAGTTTTGCGCTATACATAGCCACTCTGTGCGTGAGTGGGTTTTTTTTTTCGCTGAGTGTAGGTGTCGCATATGCGTGGCTGAGCATGGAGATCATTTACGGTCCTCGGTAATTTTTCAAATAATTATTTATATGAAATAAAATAAAATTTGCTACACAATAATAAAAAAAATGTAATGCAATGAATAAAAAAAAAAAGTTACTACGGTTCGTTTTTGTAGCACGATTTGTGCGCCACCCTGTCGAAGGGTTGTAAACTTCGATATGGATGGTGTATTGCAGGCGTCACATGTAGGGACGTAATTTATCCTATGCATCTTTCATTGCTGTGCTCTGAATGCATTTTGAAGTTAAACAAATGCTTTTATCACGGCTGTACGTTTAAAACCTTTGATGAGTGTAAAGTAATCCAGATCTTTATGCAATCACAACTAACGAATGCAACTCACAGTGGCTTCTAATTGCTTCTAAATCACACGCGATGAAGATGCTAAATGCGACTATCAAAAGTGACTGTGCTACATAACTACAAGCCGAGTCATGGACACGCTGAATGCATTCAATGAAATTTGTAGTTAGTTCATAAAAATCTACAACACAGACACACAGACGTTCCGTTAAGTGGTGTTATTTCAGCAGCAATACAGGTGAGCAACATTAAATATGAAATTAATCACTTTACTAACAACAAAATGAGCAATCTAGCGGCGCTTTATGAAGTTCAAAGTCGTTGGTATTGGCGCAAAGTTTTTTGAACACTAACTCGTATAAATATGAAATGTGTTTGGAATTAATGCATGGCAAGAGCAGCGATTGTGTGAACCAAAGGCGAATGTCGGTAGACAAAGGGAAAGAAAAATGTGTTGATTGGAGCTGGTATTTGAGCCTGTGTGTGTGCGTCTAAGTTGCGGTGTGCTGCTGGAATTATGATTAGAGCATTTCCGACGTCGACACGTCACGTACGTGCCGAATAGCGGACAGAACTGCAGCAATATTAGGAAGCAAAGAAGTAATAAATACAAAAAGCGAACAAAATAAATCGAATGAATCGGAACGAAGGCAATTCTGTGTATTTGTGGCGCCTAACAATTGGACTTGGTCAACTTAGTTGGCTCAATTATGCATTGCATGTAGCGGCTGCCCTCACTAGAAGCCAAGAACACTGTCGAAAAACTTAAAGGCAAAACGCATTAATGAAGTAGTAAAACAATCTTAAACAAATAATATTAAATTAATTAAATGAATGAAATTAAATATTATGCAGCCACAAAAAAACGCCAACAAAATATTTAATTACATTTTTAAAAGACCTTTAGAAGTTCCCCGTATTTGGAAGTAACAAAAACGTAAACTAAAAATTACGCTTGTATGTATAAAAACACAAGCATTTCGTTCAATCGGCATCAGTTCACAGCTACCAAAGTTCGGTACAGCAACTAAAAACAATTCTCAAACATGTCTCGTTTCTTCCAAGTCTTGCTCGTCGCCTGTTTGGCTTACGCACTCTGCGCTGCGGAAGCTCCACGTTATCGGGTTCGCAATGGACGCATGCAACTCTCCAAACAACGTAGCCGTTTCTTGGCGCGTCAGGAAGTCGCTGAGGAAACAGCAGTGACACCATACCCCTCCGCTAAGGAACTGATTCCAGAGATTCCATTTGATGAAGCCGCCGCCGCTGCTGCACCTGAAGTTCCCGTTGAACCCGCAGCACCAGCTGCACCAGAAGGCGACATTAATGTCTCAGTGAATGTTGATCTCCCAGCGGAACAGGAACCAGCTCAAGAAGAAGCTGATGAATCCGCTCTCGCCGATGATGCTGCGGATGAGCACGAACCAGATCTCATCTATGGCCCACCAGAGGCGGAGGATATACCAGTTGTCAATGAAATCACCCCCGTTGATGAAATCGAAGCCACCATCGCTGAGGAAGAGGAAGCGCAAGCAGCTGCTGAGGAAGCTATCCAATCTGAACGTTTGACTTTCGGTCGTCGCATCAACGTACGCAAATCCGCTCGTCCCGCTAAATTGCGCGCAGCCGCTCGTGCTCGTGTCAACTCCGTTAAATCGGCCAGAATTGTAAAGGCTAAGGTTGCAACAAAAGCACGCTCAGCTCGTCTGCAACAATTGTCACAACAACAACAGTTCTTTGTTCCTCAGCAATTTGCTGCGCAACAAAAACAACGCCCCATTTTCTACTACACCGCTGGTCAACTGCAACATTGGTAAAGTGAGAGGGCTTATAAGAAATGTAAATAGTATAGAGAATTGTTAACAATCGGATTGTAGAGTTGTTAAAGATTTTTTTAGACTGATAAATATACCTAAAACCGTTATTCGAACAAAACATATATTATAAAATATGCGATCTTTTAAATGTGATGTAGGTTGTTACTTTTGGCTGCTGAGGATTGTTCTGCTATTTATATCTATATCTGTTCTGATATTGAACATAATGTTAAAGTTTCCGTCCAGCACCCGACCTTGACGATAAATAGTATATGTGTGATTTCAGTACAAACACACGAAGTTCTTTATAAGTTACTCTTATAGTAAAAAACAAAATGAATATCTACTTATATTTTCTTTTGTTGTTGATTTCATAATCACATTTTGCTTTTGCCTTCATACCAAGTTTATTCATTAAAAATCTCAAATAGCCTCATAGCGCTCTGGAGCACGTAGTAACTCGATCGGTATTTCAAAATTCTCTAGTTTATCCTCTTTGGGCTCCTTTCTTTGTGGCTCTGACTGCGCCGTATCGACGTATTGTTCGGACTTTTGAGCATTTGTTTTCTGTTGTTCCACTCCGGACTGTTGAGATCCCTTAGTGCCCTCTTCCTCTGGATATTGCTCGTATTCATAGTCGGCACGAAAGCCACCATCGCTTATATCATCATCAGCAGAACTGGGCAACTCGGCAGGAGGACCGTAAATGTCATGAGGACTCGGTTGCCTCGGCCTACCCAACGGAGGCGGTCGAATTGGCCAATTAACCGGCGGCGATCCATAAATGTCGACAGGTCGTCGATGCTGCTGTTGTTGTGGCACTTTGCCATGCAGGCGCGTATTGCTTTGTGAATTCCAAGAGTGCCGCGTCTCATTGGGCAGTTCGTAAGTTTGAGACGGCCGATAACCGCTTGGGCGGTACTCACCCCTGCGTTGTGTGTCATCTTCCTCGGCGCTGGGCTTGTGTCGGAATGCTTGAGGATATCTGTGATGCAAAATACGATGACGGTGCCGCGCTAGACGTGTCGCGTCCTCGGCAACATTCAGAACTAGAGCCAGCAGTAAGACGATTGTAAATAATATTAGTTTTGACATTCTCGCTGAGCGCTCTCCTGCAAGTTGCTCTGCAAATTTACGACTTTTCGATTTGTTGTAATGCTTTTATAGCAAAAATTTAATGCGAAAACTTGGCAAATGATCAACTTTCCTATAAATATGATAGAATATTGTTTTCTTTCTTGTTTTTTCGAAAATCTTTGTAAACATTACATTCAAAAAAATATTGAATAAATGCCAATTTTCCACCTGCCAACTCGGTTTGTAACGAATCGGCCGCCACTGTAACCTTCAATTCGACCAGCGAACACGTGAACCGATTACTCGTGTGACCCCGGTTAACAAATTGAGTTTGTGATTCATTTTTATCGCTTGCAAATTAGTAATAGCTTATATGTAAGTCCATGCTTTGCCGGTGACTTTACTATGCACAGTGTCTCGTTTTAATAACATGGGTCATTTCATGTCAAATCGAAAAATAGTTGGACGCGTTCCCCACCGTATCAAATGAGTTTTGGTGGAAAGTTTTGTCTTATCATAAAACAAAGTTCTGGCGAAAGAAAAAAGTTTTAAATCTAAAATTTTACTGTTTTCCTGATTTCATGAGTTTATTTATTTAATATTTCAGAAACTACTGTATATTAAACAAAGAACGCTGGTGAGTTTTCAGAGGACACTTAGAGGTATGGGAAAAAAATTGTTTTGAAAACAAATTTTAAAAACCACCAAAATTAAAAAGTTTTGAATTTTGGAAAATCTTAAAAAGTAAACATCGCGGAAAAATTTTGGCTTCAAAATTTTTTATATTATACCACTTACATATCTAAAGAAATTCCGAAATTTTCAGAGCGGTGTTCTTCTTGGTTTCAAAGATATGAATTTTTGAATTTGGCAAAACGACTTTTTTCTAGTTTTTCAGCTTTTGTGAGAATTAAGAAGTTACGTTGACAAGTCACAAGTTTTTTTTTCTTCATTTCAACCTTTTAGAAACAGAATGTGTTTAAAAAAATTTGCGAAAATCACTTTTGTAATAGTGTCTACTTTGTCTTCATAACAAGCTTGCCTGAGGCTAAATGTATAGCAGCTCGCCAAGCAGTGCGGGTGACGAAGAATAAAAGTTAAGCAAAAAAGGCTCATTTTTGTACACTGTGCAGCCATATATTTGGGTATGTTGCCTATTTAAACGCATTCAACAAGTGTCAAAATTGAACTTCAAACAACAAAATCTGCAATCTTGCATACAAAATAGACACAGCAGCAAACAAAACAAAAACAGCAAATATTATTTTGTTAACATCAGATGACACAAACACACACACACATAGAAGTGACGGTGTGTGATATGTGTAGCTGGCAGATCGAGCGAAATGTAAGATAGAATGACAACAACAAGTAAAACAATGAGCATAAGTTAACTGCCGGCTGCAGAGATGATTCCCCGTGGAGCGGACACCCTGCATTTGATGCGGGAAAATCGTGCAAAATGCAACGTTGCCACAGTTCAATATTCTTACAATTCAATTTAAAGCGTTTAAGGCGCTTCGTTAAACTTCGGAAGTTTCGCAGCGCACGTAAAGACAAATCAAAAACAGATACAGCACAGTTACAAACTCTGCTCTCACGCACACAGTCACACAAATCTATGTACAAGCGAATAAATTGCTTTTGCCATACTTTATGTTTTGTTTGTTGTTGTGGTTGCTGTTGTTGTTAATATATGGTATCATGTTTGCTGGGGACGCTCTGCTGCGGTCGCCGGCCACACACAGCCACTGTCAATGGCGCTGGTAACGGTGGCGGCGGCGTCTGAGCCACCGCGTTCGGTAGCCAATCACGCTTGCCGAGCACGTAGCGGCTGGCTACAACGACGCTGTTGCTGCTGGTGGTCATTTCCAATCGAATTTAAACGTCGTTGCATGCGCGCGCGTGTGTGTGTGTGTGTGTGAGGTTCCCTGATACTTGGTATGCATACGTGCGCCGGCGTATGTGCGCCTGTGTGTGTGTGTCGGCTATAATTATTGAATTTATTCGCTTGCACCTTCGTACGCACACTTGTAGAAGCCACTGTACGCTTGTACATTGGCCTTTTTTGTGACAATCTACTCGGTCTATTTTGGTCTTACAAATACAAAGCTTGTGCCAAGCTTGGTGGCGGGTGGGAGAGTTGTGCACAGCATTATTGTTTTTTATTTATTCTTGCTTTATGTTACAAACATTTATAGTATTATGAAATATGTTTAATGTTGTTAGTGTCAATTTCGTTTGGGTATTTGTTGGCCATTTTTTTCATAATCGCCATCTTTCACTTTTGTTTCCAAAGGCTAGCGCTGGTGAATTGCTTTTGTTGTTGTTGCGTAAATAAATATTTGTATTCAGCTGGCGCGCTGTGACTGTGTGGTGTGCGTGTGTTTGTATGCTTACTCGTTGAACATTTAATTTCCGGTTTCCGATACTTGCTGCCTGTTGTTGTTGTTTTCGTGGTTTTTGTTACATTGTCTACAGTGGTAATTTTTCGTGGAATTTGTCATTTAAATTTTAAATAATATTACAAACTCAAAATGCATAAAACAATTGTATATGCGGTGTTTAGTTCACCTAGTGTTGTTGTTGGCAATTTTTGTATTCTATTTCTGTTATAGCATTTATTGATAGAATTTATTTGCTATATTTTTGTGTTTATTAATATGTGTACATATATTTATGTAAGCTTTCGTGCATTTAGTCATGCATTAAAAATAAAAATTTTTTGCTTTGTTTATTTTACTATGGTGACATCACCATTTGTTGACCCAGAATTTATTGTAAAATATACATTTAATCGGCATCCCACCCAGGGTGATTATCCTCGTAAGCTTTTAAAAAGTACATATGTAAATATGTATCGTTTTTGTTTTTGATTTTAATTCTTTCGCAACATTTTTATACTCTTGCAACAAGTTGCTACAGAGTAAAATAGTTTTGTACACCTAACGGTTGTTTGTATCAGCTAAAACTTGTATATACCAATACAAATTATCCGGCTTATGAGACGAGTTGAAATCCGTGTGACTGTCTGTACTTCCGTCTGTCCGTCCGTCACAGACAGCAATAACTTGCGAAAAATTTAGATATCGTAATTAAACTTTGTACACGTATTCCATGGCAAAAAACACCGGACAGGTTCGAATATGGGCGTAATCGGACCACTGCCACGCCCACATAACAAAATTGAAACATAATTGAAAACCTATAAATTGTCATAACTAAGCACTTAATTAATATATAAAACTGTAATTTGGTGCAAGGCATCGCTGTAGATAAGGGACCGTGTGGGTTAAAAATTAATAAAATGGGCGTGACCACGCCCTCTAATAGGTCTAATGTACATATCACCTAAACCACTAAGCTACAATTACCAAATCCGCTTAGGACAAATTCTTTAAGAACGCCTACCGACAGCGCGGAAATGGATGAAATCGGATTATAACCACGTTTTCTCTCCATATAACGGTTTTGTTAAAAACTGATAAAACTATAATACATAAAATTTTACACCCGTGATAATACAAGCGGGCTTAACAGCCAATAATAAATGTATACGATGGGCGTGACAACGCCCACATTTGGGTGAAAACGCATATCACGAGACGTACTCAACCGATATAAACCAAATTTGGATGGTAATATATGTAGTCTTGACATTCTTACATTACAGTATAAAAATGTGTGAAATCGGATTACAACCATGCCTACTTTCCATATAACACAGTTTCAACTTTCATTTGATTCCTTCACTTTTCAGTATATAAATAAAGAACCAATCAATGTATCTGAAAAAAACTTTGCACGAATAGTAGCTTTAAGGTGTACCACTTTATACCCAAAAATTGTTCGAATCGGAACAAAACTATTCAAGCCTCCAGTTACTCCATATGTGTACGCCTGTACCTGTTGCTAACGTTTCACCGGAAATAACGGTCAATCTGTGAGATATATTATAGAAATTCGGAGAGAATACTTTTCTAACAACAGTATGGCTGTATGTCAAAAATGTGTGGAATCGGATCTTTTATTCCCTTAGCTTCCATATACCTTATAGAAAGATTTTCCAACGCCGGCTTACTACTGCCAGATATGTCTTATTTGATAATGATTTTAATATAATTTTTGCTGACAGGAAGTAAAATATAGGTATAAAACTAATTTAGTCTATGACCTATAATATAAAAGTTAATAAAATACAAATTTGATTGTAACCGATTCATTATTTCGTCGAAAAATTAATGTTGAATTGTTTCGCAACATTCTTCAAATATAGCTTTGCCAAAAATATTCGGTTACAGCCGAACTTAGCGCTTCCTTACTCTTTAGCTTTATTTTCAATTTAATATTCTTAACGCTTCCCTTCGTATGTATGTATATGGTATGTAGTTATGTATGCGGTGTTTAATATATTCAGAATATTAAGTAATAAATATTAGAATTTTATTCAGTAGAGGAATGTCCTTGCTAAATACATACATACTTATAGTCATGGATTCATGTGTACGAGTATATACTTGGAAAACATAAACAAATAATAATCAAAATATTATAATATAAATGACGTAATTTTGACTGAAATATTGAACAATATAAAAAAGGTGCTTTCGGCCAAAATAATACATATGAGTGATAAGAAGTATGCAGACTTCTATAAATAGCGCCATATTGCCTGTTTGAAATGCTGAAAGTTCACTCCTTTTACTTTACTCAGTTACCGCACTCACTGACAAACTATACCCTCTACTCGAGTCAAAGCTAACATATGACTGTCTGACTGTTGTTGTTGTTAAGTTCATTAATCTAAGCAGTGAATTTCATAAAGATATGATGTTGTAAATTGGAATACCTGCTATTAAACTCTAAGTAAAGTCTAATTACCCAAACCCAAGGCCACTTTTTCAAGGCCAATTACGAAAGGAGTGTCGCGACAACTGTGCAGGATACTCATAGCAAAGAGAACATATAGCATGTTGCAAGTGTTACTTACTTTTCTTATAAAATGGAAAGGCGGCACAGTTAAGTCAAAAACATTCATTGTGCAGCACGAAAACGCTTTGTATTCTTTAATAAGAAGACTTGCTGCCAATTTTTTTCAGTTTAATTTGTAATATATGGCAGTAACAGAGTGAAATGTAGCTTGCATTATAATAATTAGTAAACGCAATAGTTTCTGGCTGTCAATCTGTAACATGCAACATTTTCCGCTTGCTGCGGCACGTTGCCTTAACACTTTACGCTCTTTACTGCTATGAAGCTGAAGTTTGAAGTGTGAGCCAACAACTTGTAAACAAATTGGGAAATGTAAAATTATGAAGACTCTCACAAAATTATGGTATGAGGCAATAACTTCCGGACAGACTTTGCAATTTTAGCTCAAAGTGTGAAATGAGTGTAATTAAAACTTCAACAACCGAGCAAGCGACGCCAAAAGCGAAAAGTAAGCTTTTCATATGCAACGTATAACGGTAAGCTGGTGTGTGGCATGCATGTGTGCAGTCAGAGGAAAACTATTTCTTTTGCTAATTATTTATGCTAATTATACATGTTGGTGTAATTTTTATTAAAAATTTTATTTTCTAAAAAATTATATAAAAACAAATAAAGTATATAAAAAACGATCAGCCTTAAAAATAATAAGAATCCTATATGCTTTCTTCAAACACATTTTCACTGAATACTAAACAAATATACTGCTTAGCGCCAGCTCTGCACACTGGCGGAGTAGGCGAAGGAGCGACCAGCCGGCACATAAATCGGCGGTGTGATTAAACGTTGTGAACGCAGCAATATAGGCAATGTCAATGGCGATTTCACTACGGCTGGCTCCAAGTTCGCTTTGACATAGACACGTTCCGCATCCGGATTCTCTTTGGCGCCTTCCTCTGGCTTTGGCGCTACCGGATTGTCACTTACACCACAAGCAGGATGACCAGCCTTGTCGGCTGGCGACACTGGATCCTCAGGCTCATTCACAGCAATGGTTGAGTCCTGATTGGCGGCTGCGATCTCTGTGGGCAATAGAAAAGCACGACTTGGACGCCAACCTGATGGTGGATACGGTGCTTTATCTGCTTTGGAAACAGTTGGTGCAGCAGTCTCCTCTGCAGCATTCACAGCGTTCACTTCGTTTACTGTTTCAATAATAGGCAGTTCCGTTGTGAAGGGCGCAAGCGGCGTTGCAGTGCTGGTTTCGTACGCATACACAATATCCTTATCGTTTGGAACAGGTGCTTCTTCAGCGACAGCGGAATCCGCTTCTTGTGCGGCTTTTATTTCAGTGGGTAACAAAAAGGCGCGGCTTGGACGCCATCCAGCAGGTGGATAGGGTGCTTTAGCTGCGCGCCCTTGCTTGGCGGCATCATCGTTCGCCAGTTCAGCGGGTACCCAGTTGTATGGTGTGGTGGTCTCAGCTGCAACGGCCACCTCCGTAGTGGTGTACTCGTTCGCGGGCAATACGGTTGTTGTGCCAGCTACACCAGCGCCTTCTGTTTGCTCGTCATCTGCAAGGCTTTCATCTTCGCCGGGTAGGTTGAATGCACGGCCAGGCCTATAACCAGCAGCCGGATATGGAGTTGGATAAACTTCCTCTACCACAGCCACCTCGATATCGCCACTATCTGCCTGCTCAATACGTGCCGACAAGCGGTTACTGCGCAGCTGACGTGCATGTGTGACGCCACTCAGCACTGCGGCTACAAGTAAGAAATGGTGTAATGTCGTATATCCAAGATTTAGCATTTTGCAAAACAATTTGTTAATATTAATCTAGAATGCTAGTTTTTAGTGAAGTCCTTTAAAGGTTTTTCCTGCTTCGCTTTTTGCTTTCGTAGCACGCTCTCCGTTTAAATTTCGTTTTATGTGTGCCCAATTAGTGTATTCAAATACTTAATGCCGACTGTTTTTAATAGAGATGTCAGCAATCATTTTTATATCGAACGCCAAATTTGCGTTCGCGCTGTCGTCCATAAACGCAATTGAGTTCTCTCCGACGCAGGTGTTCTCCGATACTGCGCTCTGTGGCGGCAATCAAATTCGCAATTGTTTCAATGTTGCGCATACGCCCCAACGTCCCTTTAAAGCAGCGCACTACGTCTTCCCAGATCGCACTCAGTTCGATTGCCAAATTATTGATCGCATACATATTTATATATATACGTCAACATTGACGCGTATGTCGTGATTGAGCGCAGCTAATTTGAGCAATTCAAACACACTCGACGCTACCTCGGTTACATGGGACTGCCTGTTAGGTTCAGGCGCATAAAGCGATTATTGCTTAATAATTCTCATTCTACACATTCGTTGTGCTCGTAATTCGCTTTAAATATGGTTCGAGAAAAATTTAATATAAAATTAAAAATTTACAAAAATAAAATAAAATAAAAATTGCATAATCACCGGCAATGTCAGCGAAATTAAAAATGTTTACGTGCTTGGCATCATAATCTGCATTTTGTTTCATTTGTTCTGATGTTTTCGTGTTTTCTTTTTTCAGAATACAACGCTCTTCTTCTTATCGTAATGCATATAGGTATGTATGTTTCATATTGCATATCTTTCGTTTTTCCATTCATAATGCCGACAGCACACATATTTGTATGTACAATACATATGTCTGCCTATGTGTATGTAAAACTTTGCTCGAGTACCAATGGGCGTTGGAGCTTTCATGAGCGGCATATTAAAATTTTATAGCTTCTTATTACTATGCAAAATATGCTCAATTACGTGTATTTCAGCGAAAGCAAACGTAACTCACACTTTTACATTAACTTAACTTGTGCAGAGTTTTCCAATAAGAGTGATATGATTTAAAAAAAAAAAAAAAAAAAAAAATAACACTAATTGTTAAGAAAATTCAAATGTTTTTTATTTAATGTGAAGTACGATCGATACAATTAAGTTCTGAATATAACATCATGCAAATGACCGTTAACACTTCTTTTGCAGAAAAGAATTCAATGAACCCAATTTTCGAGTACTTCTTCCACTAAATAAAGTCGTATGTCATGAATAGCACGTTCAATATTGACTTCTCAAGCTTGAAGATAGTCTGGTTTATTGCTTAAGACCTACGACTTTAAATAATCGCACAAGCAGTAGTCTAATATTGTTAAATCACAACTTCTTGTAAGTCATTCAATGTCACAATTTCTTGAAATCATCGAATCTCCAAACTTGTCTCGCAATAATTCGCTTGTTGCACGTGCTGTGTGGCAGATAGCCCCCATCTTATTGGAGCTAGATGTTGTCAAGAGTAACTTCTTCCTATTGCGGCCATAAAAAGTTGGTTATCATCGTTCCATACCGCTCTGCATTGACAGTGACTGTGTCACCAGCTTCATTTCGAAAGAAGTGCGGACCAAAGACCACACCAAACTGTCAATTTAGGTGAATGTAATGGTTGTTCATGAACAATTTGTGGATTTTCTTCGCATCTGAATCGACAGTTTTGTTTATTTATGGCACCACTCAGATGAAAGTGAGCCTCATCGGAGAAGTTGATTTTCTTAAAAAAATCGTTATGGTTTTCAGTTGTTCCAAGGCAAAATCAGCAAATTAACGATGTCTACGTTGGTTCAATGGATTCAGTACTTGAGTGAGAACAATTTTATACGGATGTAAGCCCAAATTCTTTCTCGAAACCCACCAGATTGTGGTTTGAGACAGCCCCAATTCTTGAGAACGTTTTGGAATCGACAAATTGCGGCCTTCAGCAACACTGGCCTGACAGGCAGCAATATTGTCATTACTTCGAGCGGTTCCTTGTCTTATTGTCACTTGAACATTATGTAATGAAAATTTAAGCTCTAAATTTTGAATTCGACGAATAGCGGACAGAGGTGAACGATTATTATGACCATAAAATGGCAAAAGCGCGCGAAAAATTGCAATTGAAGAACGATTATTTTGTTAAAAAAATTGAATAGTTTGTAAACGTTGTTCTTGGGAATATATTTCCGTGATGAAATTGTAAACATTACTAAATACAATGAAAAAAACTTATTATTATCATCGCTATTAGAAAACCCAATATTTAATTTGTGGAAAAACCACTTCCTGAAATGAAACTTCCACGCAAATTAAGTGGCAGCAAAGACCTTTGATTGTGCGAACTTATTAGATCCATTTAGAACTACAACAACGAAGTGAATGAGTTAGAAAATAAACACCACGATATTAATGTTGATTATAGAGCACTCTTGGGTGAATCCTATCTCGAGCTTTCGCTTTATTGTACCACACAAAGTTGATTAGAAAAGCTTACGACTAGATTGCTTTCATGACCGATATTATCTGAAAATAAAATCGACGACTTTCAGGATTCATATTCAGATTTTTGCTGTTCGCTTGGCAGTGAGCTTTGAAAATTTCATACCGGGGGCATTACTAGCAGACTTACCCCTCACCCTTTCCTCGATTGAAAATAAAAGCTATGAATTTCAAGGTACATATCCATATTGATGATATTCGCTTGAATTGATGATGTACAGCTATCAAAATTTTCATACAGGTTGCATGACCCGCAAACTTCCACCTCATACTCTCATCGACGGCAGTGGTAGAAGGATTCCAGGATCACGCTAGAGGTCGCGTTGTGCCCATTTCTGACAAAATGCCGAAATTAATTAGCTATCCTTTGAATATTTCCACTCACAGCAAAACAGACCAAACACGTCATTTACCTAATTTACCGTAGCAAAAAATAAAAATCACCAAAAGTCAATTGTTGTTGTTGGAAATGTCACGAGCATAAATTCACTGCAACTGAGGGCGTTGTGCTGTCAACGAGAATGTCAAACAATTGTCGCACAAACACCAGCGTAGCAGAGCGGCGGACAGCAGGCAAATAGCAGACAGCTACAACAACAATGTTGTTGGGCACACGCGACGGCACAATGTGGAGAACGACGCTTGATTGCATTAATTAAGTCACACTTATTTGTCTTCAATAAACAACAACAACAATAACGAAAACAGCGACAGCAACAATTGTCGCTGCGGCCAATTACGATGGCTACTACAAACTAAAGCAACAACAAACAACAAGCGTGTACATACAACAAACAATAACGACAACATTGCGAACAAGCAGACAACGCATTCAAGCATCAACCATTATGTCGCCGCACACACAAACACACATGCGAAACCACACACACACACTCGACAACAATAACAGCGCACAGCCAACAACCAACAACCAACAGCCATTGTGGCAACAACTAAAGCAAATAGCCCAACCGAGTGACAATAAAATCGCGCAAATTTTATGTCAACAACAGTGCGCACCGAAACGCCTATCGTGGCTGAGTGTGAGCGCATGTAATTAAGCGCGTATGTATGTACCAGCGCTTGGCCATGACAAAGCCGAGACGAACAAAAGTTTTAATCTATGCGCGCTAGTTAATTTCTACAAAGAAAAGAGCATAGCTAATAAGCGTTGAATGTTTAGGAAGCGGAACAAAGACAATTGACTCGCCATCACCGACGCTGCTCTGTGATCACTTCCAATAAAAAGAGAGCAGAGGCGAATCGTAGCAAGAAAAAATGATTGAGTTATAGAGCTTCGGTTCGTTTTTTGTTGTTGAAACTTAGCTGGGCGCACTATACGCCATTATGGCTTGTAATCAGGCATTCTTTTTGGCTCACCTTTCAGCCAAACAGAGTTTCGTTAATAGAAAGCATTGAATTTATTTGGGTATGAAGTCGGTTGGTATACTCCACCAATCGGTTGGTATATTCCAACTAGACAATCGCAAAATGTAAACAGAAAGCAGTATTTAGCAGTCTCACAGCTAAAAGTTTAAGCAATACCCCCTTAAATTAAATCTTGCTGTCTGTATCTCTGCAACAGAAATCTAGAAGCCGCTTTCCGTATAAGTTCAATTTGACGACCTCATTCGTTAAATTATCTAATACCCTTGCATTCCATATATCCATGCATTCACCATTACCTACCATGCATTCACTTAACCATAGAATTTAAGAACTTGCCGCATGCTGTTCACTACCACAACTCACCTAGCGTCTGACGAGTGGCGTCGACCACAGCGTCGAAATTTCAAAAGCGATAAAAGTGCGTTTAATTGCATTGCAGCGGCTGACGTGGCCACAAAAGTAAAAAACTACTAAAAACTTAATAAAAATCTGACAGCTTAAAAATATTGCAATAAAAACACAGATACCGCTATGTGTCAGAACACTGCGTACGCCTGTATACGGCGTTTACGTGGTCAATTCATAATAAAACTTGGTTGATGTGGCCGGAACCCAGCGATGCCCGGATTTTAAGCACTTCGTTTATGCACTTGTGTTAGTGCGTGTGCGTGTGTGTGAGTGCGACATGGAATGTCGAGAAGTGTTGTCAAATGCAGTTGTACGGCAATGAGTGAACAAATGGTTTCGCTGGCACACAAGCGCAAGCTGGCGCTGCAGAAATATACGTGTGTGTGTGTGTGTGTGCCGCGGCATGCTGATGTGCGAACACAAATAAGTACTCGTAAATAACTGTGTAAATAAGGCTTTGCATGATTTTTTCAGTTTGTTTGCGGCAGTGCAGTTGCTGCAACTTGAGTGCATGGTTAACCCGGCGTCGAACACCGGAATAACGGCTGTTTACACGCCTGAAAGTCAGCAACTGCACAGACGGAGGCGCAGAGCAACGCCAATATTATTTTTATTTAATTAACATTTGCACCGGCACTTCATTAAGGCTGCGTCACAGCGGTTAGCTGTTTGCAACATATTTAATTGGCGTGAGTGAAGCTGTGCCGCAAATGGCTTTCCACCTTAATTAATTGCATACCCCAAACCATTTAAGAAGATTATGGATGTAGGCATTTATCGCCTGATTTTCAATTTCCTACACTGCATTGAAGTCGAAAAAAGCAAAGCAGCTAATATTTATGTATGGCCGAAAGCTATCATTGCAACGACGGTGTCAATTCAATTAGGATCGAGTGGAATTTTGTATTGTAATAGGCTTTACGGCTCGTAACGGAAGCTGCTGCAGCCACCTACTTCTTTGTTTGCGTGTGCGCGCGCCCAAACTGGTCTGATCAATGGTCTGTCCATTTGGCACTGTAGCGGCGTAGCGCCGCAGCTATGGATGCGCGCCAGCCAGCTGCCAATTCCGCATACACAGCATTCAATGCGCTTGAATTGAAGTGGGTGTGCATTATGTTGCATACCTTTTGGCGCTAAAGAATTTCGCCTTGTTTGCATGCAGAGGTCACACACTGCGGTTGCTTCGGAAGGCATTCAATTGCGCCGGTGTGTGCTTGCAAGCGGCGCATATGTGCGTGTGTGTGCCTTCTTTTGACATTCACAAATGAACTGCGCTTAGCCAAACAGCTTGAAGTGCTACGTTGTTGTTGTGTTTGTTGCATGCCGGCAATTTCATTTGCGTAGTCGATTAGCTACCTGCGGCTTTTAAGTTGCCTTTTGAAAAGCTAAGTCAAGAGAGTGGACGCATGCAGACGTCAAATCCATGAATGAATGCGCATGGACGCGATGAATGAAAGGGTTTCGGTATATGACAGGTTGCATGTGGCAAACAGGGCGTTACTACATGCGCTTCTGTCTCTGCAATCTGCAATCAAAGCGCTGATGCAGAACATTTGTTTGTTTCGCGGAATATGGAACAGAAGACTTCATTCAGGCGATCGCTTGTATGAACCGTGGCTTATTGAAGCGTGTAAGCGGCGCTTTTTGTAGACCTTGCTTTTAAGCGCGTTTTGCAAACATGATTTGTGGACTTGAACTGATTGGATTTATGGTTAATGAAGGTCCGTGGTAAATGTTGACACGATTGGTACTCTTTCACAGTACCGAGTGATGTGATGTTATAAGGTATGGACCTACGTTTTGGTAGCAACAAGAATGGAAACACTTTTCAGTTACAACAAGGAAAAATCAATACAGTGACCTCTTAGTTATGACTGTAAACACGACATAACTGATGAACACATAAAATGGTTGGGTCTTATTTCTTATACATTGCCACAACTGTTAAATCAAAACATGTGATATTTTTTTGCAAGAAAACTTTTTTTTTCATTAGACAGTTAACAAGATTAAATTTACAAATACAAATAAATGTTACAAAATTTGTGATGTCATCGTTGTGTCGGCTGGGTGGTGTCCTTGTTTGTAGATTCCTTTTATATATTTTTTGGTGCGCTGCGCTACAAGCACAGCTTTAGCTAATTTTACACACATACATACATACATACTAGTTTATTACAGTGGGAGCACACTTTAATTTTATTTTTTGGTGGTTTTTTGTTTTTTTGTATTAAGCATAAAAGGTTTGTCAAATTTTCTTATTTTTACAAAAATTTACAACTTTCTGCGGCACTTCTGCAGTACTCACACTCAAGCGCATACCTGCAACTCAATGGCGGCGCTGGGCAACAGCCTTGTATTTGAGTGGGCGCGCGGCAGCACGGGCAGTCAAGGATTGGCGGTAAGCCGCCGCTTTGCGTTGACGTTGGCGCAGCGCAGCGGCGCGACGAGCAGCAACCAGGCGCGCTTGTTGTTCGTCCAAAGGAGCGGGGAAGGTTTCGGCAGCTGGGTCGGCAGCGGGCACATCATCGACGGGGGCAGCGTCAGCGGGCAATTCATTGCCGAAAACATCTGGTGGTCCGTACACTTCATCGGGCTGGTTAGCTTCCGGTGGGCCGTACACCTCGTCGGGAATGTTGGTGGCAGGTGCACCTTCATCGAAGGGCACAGCTGGTTTCAGCTCATCGGCAGAGGGGTAAGGGGTGACAGCTGGTGCCTCGGGTGCGGCATCGGCTTCCACTTGACGTGCTAGATAGCGGGTGCGTGGACGCTGGTAACGCGCAGCTGCCGGACGGTAGTAAACGCGTTGACCACGTTGCTGGGGCTCAGCTTCGATGCAGGCGATGAAAGCGAGCACGGCGCATAGCACGAAAATTTGGAATTTAGCCATTTTTTATTGTAGTATTTGATACTCAAGTGGAGGTTGAAAAAGTTGTTAAATCGTTTGGTTTTTCGAGGATATAATTTTTTTTATCAATCGCGCTAATTTTTTCGAATTTTGCAATTTAATTTGATTTAAGAAAGGAGAATTTGTGTATGCGGTTTAGTGTGCGAACACTGGAAACTGATATCGAATGACCGTGAACGCTTTGCTTTTATACGCTAAGCCAGCACGAAGCTACCGACTTGGGCGCACGTCCAGCCGCCGACAATTTGGCATGCAGGAACTGCGTGGTGGCGCGGGCATCCTTATTTGGCGCGACCGTGTATGACAAAGTCGCCGCAACGCTGCCTGCAAGCATTTGGGAGTTATGCTGATTTTATGACTAGACGTGACGAACATTTTACCGGTCGCAAACCAAACTATAAAGTTCTAGTGAACGCGCGCAGATCGACGGTGCGGCGGCAGCTCTAGAGCGTATAAATTCGTGTTAATTGACAGAATGAAAGCGAAAACAGTACTCGTTTTTGTTACTGCTGCTCAGCTGAGCGATCAATGGAATGGCTAGCCATTCCCGTACACTGCCTGTACCCGCTAGCTTGGCGTCGATAGTCGATTACTCGCAGGCTGTTGCTAGGCGCTGTCAATGCTAATTCTTCGGTACCGCAGTTAAGTTTGCGTGCTCACTTGGTATGGCAAGTGTCGGAGGAATATGGTAATCGGTAGCAAGGCGAATTGGGCAAAGGGTAATTAATAAAATGTTCGTAGATATTCAATAATCTCCATATATATGAGTGAACTAAATTCAACGCAGCGTTGCTAATAAAATATATTTGCTTGCTTTGGCATTATGAATATTTTTGGATTGTAGTAATAATTATTAACAAGCAAAATCGTTCACTTCGGTTGCACCGCAGCTATAATACCCTTCACTAATACACAGGTTCCTTACAAAAACTTGCTTTCGTTCTAAATTCTTGAAGATATCTCGTCAAACGAAAGATTTTCCATAAAAGCACTTGATTCCATACGTTCAGTTTGTATGGAAGCTATATGCTATTGTGAACCGATCTAAATAATTTATTCCGAGATAACATTGTTGTCTTAGGAAATAACTCATGCGAAATTTCGTGAAGATATTACGTCAAATAAAAAAGTTTTCCATACAATCACTTGCTTCAGTTTGTATGGCAGCTATATGCAATAATGGTCCGATTTCGGCCATTCCGACAAATGAGCAGCTTCTTAGTAAGAAAAGGGCAGATACAACATTTCAGATCGTTAGCTTAAAAACTGAGAGACTAGTTTGTATATATACAAACAGACGGACATGGCGAAATGAACTGCTGATCATTTATGTATATATTTTATAGGGTATACGATGTATACAAATCATTCGAGCACATCTACATGATGACATAAATTATGTGGAAAATATCGTTTAAAGAGGAAGTGTGTCGAGAGTCATGTGAGAATATGTCAAATCGCACGCATTTATGAATATGGTAAGTTTCTTTATTAAGCACCTCCTTTGATTATGTAATACTGCTAACTTTAGATGCGTATAAGTATCCGGCTTCGAATTGAACGCTTTCGTTGTTTCGCAACAAAGCTCGTTAACTGAAGACAAGCACGTTCTGGCTGATGAGCTTCACAAATAATCTAAAAAGTGGTTGCGTTTGCTACGAAAAGAAAATATATATTTAATCAACACTGCCAGTTCAAGCTAAACGAAACCCTGAATTTATATCAGAACATAGATTACCAGTACAATAATATTGCAAAAAACACGAAATTCGGATATACCCATATTTGAATTATGAGCTTGAACGGAAAGGAATAAAGCTACGGTATAGAGTTAAGTCCGTTTGACTAGGGGAAGTAATATTTAGCTCAAGAACGCTTAGTTTGCATATGAGTATACCTGTAGTGAAGTGTTGCTGACAAGGGCGTGCTTACGGAAAAACGACAGCACGTTGACGTTGTAAGCTGATGTGCTGATAGAACGCGGGACACAGGCAGGCTGCCAAAGGTGTGCTATTTGATTTCCATTTACAAAAGAACACACATAGCACACACATACACACACACATATTTGATTGCGTGTCTGCACAAATACAAATCTGTATGAGTGAGTTGCGAAATCTATTGTTATTGAACTTTGACGGGGCCTTTAGCAGTAAGCGCTTCTGCAACAACAAATTCACTATCGTTCGCTTATCGTTTGTTTGCCAGCTCACTGAACTAAGCTTTTCGACCACCATTGAGACAAGTTAGTGAAGAAATAGTGCTGCCTGCAGTTCTGCTTTGAAACGATAAATATGCTAGTTGGGCGAAGGTAGGGGCGTGCAAGGCGAGAGCACAAAAGATCTAACTGCTTGAGTACATTTGAACCCGCACAAATACATCAAATATCGCTATTATGATGAAATATACCACATAGTTGTTGTTATTGCTGCATAGAGAAAATGCTGGCATACACAATACAAACACACACATATACACAATTGCAGCTTGCAACTTGCGCCGCATAAACTCCATTGAGCTGCATAAATGCGTAATATAACAGCGCAAGTCAAAGCAAAGCGTTTGCCACCAATCTAATACATGCACACAGCTCCACATATTGTACATATATAGTTGTGTGGGTGCTTGGCACTTTTTATGATAAATATGTGTGCGCTTTCGTTGGCATTGTATTGCAGCGTCTTGTCATAGAATTTCAATATTTCTTGCGCAGCTCAAAAGCAACAGCGCACTCCTTGCCAGGTTGCTTACGAGGCGAAAGAGCGCTGCATTTCCGCTGCAGTTGCTCGACCGCGCCGCCACTGTGCACAACTCGCCTGCCATTGCAATTTGTATGAATATGTGATTGCATTTTTATTGCGTTGCAATTGTGTGCAATTTTTAAGATTGGTAGCACAGCAGTAGCGCACCAGCAGAGGCAACGCGCTGGGACCGCCAACTTCCGTTGCCAAGCGCTTCTCATCCGTTTTGTCATTGCGCTTCGAAGCTTGTGTGCGTATGTGTGTGCACGAAATGACTGAATATCTGTGCTTATGCTTCCGCTTGCAACATTTGTAGTTATACAAGCGTAGGTATTTATTCGCATGTGTAAGTTATTGCTGCTTGTTTTTACGTTTCGTTAAAGTTAAATCAGAATTATTGCTATGCATTACGCAATAGTAGAGATCTACTAGGAATTTAACGGCAACACGAAAACTTATTTATCGAAAGACATTTTTAAACATAAATTTTTTTTCGGTCTGCTAGTTCCAACACCTCAATATATAATATTTTTAAGAAATTTCGATTAAGGGGAAACCAGTTTAGGAGGCCGAGATTCGAGTGCTTTTTGTGATTTTTTTTTAAACTGAGAACGAATAATTAGAATTCGTTTAAACTTGCAGCGTAGTTTATTCCTATTTTGAACAACACTGTTAAGTTTTGCGATGCCATTTCCGCCAGAAGTGGTGGAGTTAGAGGGTGTTGTTCATTGACGTTCGCCATCATGACTGCTGGCGGAACACCTGGAGGTCACAGTTTTGATCTGAAATCATTAATTTTTTTTCTTTCGTTAGTAACATATTTTCTAAGAATATGAACTAAACTCTGGCCAAAAGAGTTGAAAATTAAATGTTTTGAAGGTGTTTGAATAAAATGTTTACCTTTCTTGCATAAAAAAATATGTTTTACTTAATAATATCATTCCAATTTTAATTCATATTTTTTGGACTTGAATAAATGATATTCGCACAAATTTTCAGATCGATTCGTATCATCGGAACATATCATCGGAACATATTCTTGAATAGTTGTACTAACAATTTATGCAATAAAAAATCGATTTTTTTGAATCATCTGAAATAGTCTCCCTCCTTAAGGGGGTTTCACGGCTTCAAAAAAAATAAATTTTTTTTATTGTCTTATTTAATGCTATAGCATCTCTAAAATTTTGTCCTAAATTCTCAAGTTGATACCAGTAAAAAAGTAGTCTTAGAGATAAAGCTTTGAAAAGTTGCGTCAGCTATATAGTCACTTAAAACTTTAAACGCGTTTTTCTCGAAACTGTGTTTTCAAAGTCGGTTGTCAAGATTTCTCACGAACTACTCAACCGATCTTAATGAAATTTTACACAGGTCTTTGAAATATAATATAATATATTGTACAAGGTTTTGCAGTGGAGGATTTTTTTTGTTCAATTACAAATATTTAATAAAACAAGAAAAAACGTTAACTTCGGTTGCACCGAAGCTATAATACCCTCCACAAATACAAAGGCCACTTACAATAACTTGATTCCGAACGTTCAATTTGTATGGCAGCTATATGATATAGTGATCTGCGGAGAATAATTTGTTGCCTTAAGCAAGAACTCGTGTCTAATTTCGTGAAGATACCTTATCAAATAAAAAAATTTTCCATGCAAGCACTTTACTCCGATCGTTCAGTTAATATGGTAGCTACATGTCATAGTCATCCGATCTGAATAATTTCTTCGGCGATTAGATTATTGCCTTAAATAATAATCCATGCCAAATTTCGTGAAGATACCTCTTCAAATGAAAGAGTTATCCATGCAAGCACTAGATTCCGATTGTTCAGTTTGTATGGCAGCTATATGCTATAGTCATCCGATCTTTACAATTTCTTCGGAGATTGCATTAATGCCTTAAATAATGATACGTGCCAAAAATTTCAGATCGATATCTCAAAAACTGAGGGATTAGTTCGCGTATATACAGACGGACGGACGGACGGACATGGCTAAATCAACTCAACTCGTCACGGTGATCATTTATATATATACTTTATATGGTCTCCGCCATTTACTTTTGGATGTTACAAACTTCGTGGCAAAATTAATATACCCTGTTCAGGGTATAAAAACAACGTCAAGAAATTTTCACCAAAATTTCCATGCTTTTATCAAAACGTCTGCCAAAAATACAATTTTCACTTTATTTGTTTTCTCTCATCCCAATACCTAGTTAATGGTCTTAGTTCAAACATTTTTTTTTATACATTTGAGGATCTTGTCAGCAATTCTGCCGGACTACCGTCGTAATGACTGAGTTTTGAATATCATAAAATCTTTATCAAATATGTATTGCGGGAATAATAAAATGTTAGAATAAAATATTTTATTTTTTATACAATATGAAAAACAAAATTATT